CTGGAAGTGAAAGCACCAGAAAATAAATTAAGTCATACCCAGCTGTCATCCGTTCGCAAGGAAGTAAGCACAAGATGCCGATTACCCTGAGCAGGATGCAGCGCACCTTAATGCGACTCGCCGAATACCTCACGGCGCTTCGCGCTTGGTGATGTGNGAGGTCAATGGTCTAACGACTACGACATGCACGACTATGAGTACCCCCCCCCCCTCCGCCCTCTCTGTCCTTCTGTCCCTCTATCCCTCTGTCTCTCCCTCTATGTTCGTCTGTATGTCTGTCTATCCTCCCTCTCTGTGACACACACACACCTGCGGTACAGGAGTAGCCGAGCTCGGAGCGCACGGCGGCCCTGAGCCTCGAAACCACCGCCGCGCCGCAGCTGAGGAGCTCCTGGTCTCGCGTGAACGCCTCTTTAGTCCTGGCCCACCAGGAAACTCCGTCAGCGAGTTGCTGCTCCTTCGATGCATCGTCGTCGCTCAGGCCGGCAACCTTCGGTTTCGGCCCAGAACATTATTCGACAGAAAAAATAGTCAGCCGTGGCAGACAGAGAGAGTAGCGAAGAGGAAGAGAGAACAAGTCTGTTTGAGCGCAAGTATGTAGAGAATCCCGTGTGAAATCGTGACGGGTGTCTGGCTTCGAGATGTGCCTCCGGCAAAAGCTGCGATGCCACTGGTGTTAAAGAGAATGGCGTCAAGGCCGTGGCCCGTGCGAATCGAACGTGTCTCGAAAACATTGTTTTTCGTCTGAATTGGTGACGGTAGTCACGACAAAATAACATCGAGACATCCCCCCGATGACCGAGCGTGTCTTCAAAAATATAGGTTTCTGTCTGAATACGGACTGGTAGACATTAGCGATACATTGAAACGTCCGTCCGGCAATCGGCCGCGTTGAAACTCACATGAGTGGTCGCAGTCGCCGACAAGACGGCGGTCCACCCCCCCTCACCAATGTCCTCCCATCGCTTCTTGCTGACCCCCCCATCCTCCCTCGGCGACGCTGCTGGCGGGGCTTTGTTTCCCTCTGCAGTGCTTGTACCTTTCCCCTCCTCATCTTGCTGCTGATGCTGCTGCTGCTGATTGCCGCTGCTTTCGCTGTTGTGGCTGCCAAGGCTCGAGAGGAGAGCATGCGCAGCGCGCGTAACGTCGACGTAAACCTCGTCGATCGAAGCCTTTTCGACGGTGGTTAACGCACCCCCCGCGCGCTCGAGGACGGCCACCACTCTCTCGCCCGCGTGTCTAGCAAGCGCGGGGCGGGGCGGTACAAGAGAAAAGACGCAGACAGGTGGGGGTAGGCTGAAGACGGAGTAGTTGGTATGGGAGGTGCCTCATATCAAACTGAGCGATGGATTTCCGAGTAGTTTTCCTGGGTCTACTCGATAGCTCGATCGCCAGAATCGGTAGGTTAGGTCTGTGCCGACAATGGCGACCGAAAAAGCCACGCAAGCAGTCCTCGACGATCCCCCCCCCGCCCCCCCCCTCGCGCGTACCTGTAGAGCGAGATGTCCGCCTTGCCGTTGCGGGTGGGCACCTGCACCAGGGCCAGCTCTGGGCAAACCTTGCGAGCGTCACCGGCCTTCATGCCGCGCTTCACCTGATTTTCGACGTGTATGTATAAAGATTACATAATAGCAAAAGTTTAACTACGGCTCGGGAAGCTTTCGAGGGCACATTGGCTTCTTCGTCACATGCGTCAACGCTACCGGTATGGAATGACAGCGTCTTTCGGCACCCTGGCTGCTAACCTCTTACAAATCGGGCACGCCTCTTCCATCTCATAGAAAAATGAGTTTAAACACCGAAGCTTCATCTTCGGTTGAGTTGACAGATATTTCCGCCATGTGTTAAACCACAGGCCGCAATCTAGACCGCAGACGGTGATTGTGACTTGTGAGAGGCGAAATCTGCGCTAACGTTGGCGACCGTCCATGGGTGGAGGAATGTGCGCGTTGACGATGCACGTACAAGACCCCCCAGAGCATGTTCGTACACCCCAAGTTGGTACGCCCGTTATCCTTTCGCTGGCTGTGATGCTTGATAGAATAAGCGGGTGGAAGGAAAGAGCAGGGGCTGCCCCCGAGCTGGCCAGCTCACGTAGGGGGCTCCGAACAATTATCCTCGGACGCGTTACACCATCGATACCTATGGAGAACACCTGGAACAGTCACCTATATAGTCTACAGACCCGACTACATGTACGTAAGTAACGGCGTCTCGTCAACTTGTCATAAGCGGTTTAAGACTGCCTGTGCGCAAGCAACCCCCGATTCATGACTCGTGTCAACTCTTTGGCGTGTCACTAGAAAGATAGGCGTGCAATCCTCTCACCCCGAAAGGACGAGCCTCGTAGCTGACGGCGATGATGGAGCTAGCAGAACCTTCCACCACGCGGTTGTCGTCCGGCTCCATGTCCTTGATGTCGTGATTAGATGTGGGGTACTGAACCACCACGACAGGCCTGCCCGTCAAGGCGGCGTCTCGGAGCTTTTTTCCGTTTCGGCGAACGTTCAAGATGGGGTGGGATGGATAGATGAGCCTGTGTCAGGGATAACTGATGGGGGTGGATAGACCTCAATCCAGCTCGTGCCCTCCGTACGCTTGAAAGCACAGCCTGTTTGGCTTTCCGTGAAGAACGCGTTTCGTATGACCGCGTTTCTTGTGTTGGTGTGAGTCTTCAAAATAAGAGAACCTTCTGGTACTGGAGCAGTACAAAGATGGAAGCACAGCAGCAAGGTGCTTCGTATAGTACAACAACGGGAGACAGCACCACTGTTTGCATTCATTCACGTGCATGTGCCATGTGGTGGACGGTCCATCCCATTCAAAGCCTTCTTCACCTGCTCTATCTGAGCGTAGAAGGCATCCATATCGATGTGCGCGATGACTCTCAGTGGTTCCTTCAACGCCGGCGCAAGCCCACGCCCCCCACCGGCAGACACAGCGGACCCCCCCGTCCACGCGTTTCCTGCTGCTGGGGAAATTTTCGCCGCTGACGACTTCGTTGCTGATGTCGCCATCCTGATGACTCCTTCCAGCAGAGAATTTGGAGATGTTCAAATTTCAAATTTGCTGGACAACGCGCGCGCACGATTCTCGCAACTCTTCTAGGTTCCTGCTGGATTTCGTCCTTCTCAGATGAAAGCAGGGAAGGGTAGGGGCGTCCAACGGGCACTTGCTAGCACCAACCAGCCGTCGTCGCGAAGGCCTGCTGCTGACGAGGTGCAGCAGTCGGGAGTCACACAGCCTCGACGCCCGACCCTTTCCGTCCCTCTCAATTCAACAACAACAGCTTCTTTCTTCGCAATCGACCAGCTCTTCCTGAATCGTCGCTCCTTTCAGTCCTGACCACACTCAGCGGCACGATAAACTGCCTCTCCCGCGGTACCAACTTACCGGTTGCACCGCGCAGCACACAAATGGCACTGCACCTGCCTGTGAGGCAATACATGGGGCCCAGGTGATGAGCTTTGTGCGGCGTGACTCTTTGCATCCACGGTGCCCCTCTGTCTGATGTGCCCTCCAGCGCCGGAGCGCCGGGCTGGTTTCAGGGTTCTCCTCCGGACAGCAACCATCTCCCCGGGATCAGCGTTTTACATTTTTTCATTTCTGCATGCGATCAAGGCAAGTATTGCAGCATTGCTCGGGATCGGGAATCGTCGAATCGACACTACAAGACATGCGGCGTAACTACTGCACCGCTTGATTCTAGACTGCGGATAGGAGATGGGAAGCACTCTGCATAGCCTGTACCTGCTACGGCTGTACAAAACACAGTTGCACCTGCCGTTGCTGTCGACTCAAGTGCAAAGGTGGTACTCTTTGGCACGTGCTGCCCGCTCGGCCACTGCGTTTTCTGTCAAAGGTCTAAACCTGCTGTCTGCTACACGGTGCTGTCGGCAGTGTTCGGTCCGCCGGCATCGATCTATTGAGTCGTGATGTCGGGGGCTACCATGGCGAGGGCCAACTTCAAGAAGTACACAGACATCACGAATCCACTGGTGAGGGAACAATCCGCGTACCCTTGTTCCAGAGGGACAAGATCGAAAGTTTAAAGTCTCGTTTTGCCGCCTTTTCTTATCCATTTTCATTCATCCACGTGTTGCTCTCTCTCCAGCATACGAGACTACGGACAATCTTGGGGCGTAGACAGTCCATCCACATGCACACTGGCTGTATCTGTGCACCAGGCTTTGCTAGCCGAAGGTTCCCTCCAGCGGACCTGCAGCGGCAGGCGTGCTCCGCTGAGTTGCCCACTTGCCGCTCAATTTGTTCGTTACACCGGCGGTGTTGACCCGCAGGCCGCCGGACAGAGCGACACTCCTGATGGGAGCAGCAGCACCGACGCGTGGCGCGACTCAGAAAACCTGAAATCGGGCCGACAAAAGGAGGAGGGGGAGGAGGGGAAGGAGGATGAAGAAGAAGAAGAGGAGGAGGATCCGTTTGGTCTGGGATCTATCATGTCCAAAGCCGAAAAAGAGGAAGAGGAAGATGAAGGGCAAGAGGGAGAGGAAGAAGACCCCTTTGGCCTTGGAGCAATCATGGACGAACCAAACAAGGGCGCTGGCACCTCAACCAGTAAACGCAGCGGCAGTGGCGCTGACGAACCCCGACAAAAGAAGGCGCATAAGACGACAGCTGACGGTACAACCGGCGGATACTTCAAGGGAACGACGTCGTTAACATCCGCCCAATCTTCAGTGGCGGAGGCATCGCGACAGCCATTTCGGGCCGCGGACTCCTTTAGCGGCGCGCGGAAGGGCTATGTCTTCCAGAAAGGTCCTCTGGGTCTAGGTTACTACGCGGACAAGGTTCAAATTCGCGCAACAGCGGCTGCGGATGCAGTGGTGGCAGTGTCGAGAGCTAAGAGCCGAGGGCCAGAGGCACGAGGTTCTGGAGGAAGGCCGGCGACGGAGGGCCGTGAGAAAAAAAAGCAGGCGGTGGACGTGGCAGCCTCGCTGCAGAAACTCAAGGTGTTCATTCTGAAGCCCAAGAAAGCGGCGAAAGCGGCGTCGCTCATGGCAGACCTGATGGAGGCGCATATGCGTCCGGACAACGCCCGGATGTTTTTCAGGTACAGTGGGGGTCCCTGTTTAGTGCCGGTTGAATAGTGGCGGTGCCCAGTATAGTGCCGGTGTTTTCGGCGGGCACACACTGATTTCATTCTCAGTATGTGAAAAGGTGAGCCACACCGCTGCTTTGTGCAGCCAAGATGGCTGCGTCATTAGCCCGCACAACACGTCCCGGTGTTTCACACAGCAGTATCCGTGTGGTGTATGGAATTCCCACAGAAGTTGCATCGTGTGCGCCTTGGCGTCGCACCCCGGGGTCGGTTACGACGTACGGCTCCCGGCTCATCTTCTGTTCATTATTTTTGAGTATTCCCCAACTCCCCTGCAATCTCACCGCCTTTTACCAAATTCTCGTCGCGTCTTCAAATTCGGGTAGGGCGCTCAAGCCCCTTGCGGAAGAACCGGCGGGCGAAGCGGCTCTTGCCGCCGGGGAAGGAGGCGCTAGAGCTTTTCGAAAGCTCGCGGAGAGGGCATCGGAGTGGGTTGCAGCGCCGTCGGAGGGGGTGCGGGCGGTGACCTGGGAACTCCTCTTCGGCTTGCGGCATGACGTGAGGTTTTTGCGAACGATGATGGGTGTGCGATCGTCCTATTCCTTGTCTATCTATTAACATGTGCTAAGCCGCGAGTATAGTCAAGGAGAGTCCCGCGAACCCTGCTCACCGAACGATGGCACTCCTTTGACTCCATGTGCAAAGCCTGACAGCAGTGAGCACGTACCCCGCCCATCCCACAAACACCATCCACCCCCCACCACGCGCCCCGAAACAGACGAAGACGGATGACTCGTTTACATTTGCTCGCGCCATCAAGCGCCTCCGTGAAGCCATTGAAGCCTTAGGCGACGTCACGGGTGGGGGCAAGGCTACCAATGGTACTGCCGGCGAAGGCGACGATGGTGAGGGAACCGGGTCGGCGAGAGGAAATGGGGCCTCGCTTTCCTTGGAGCGCAAAGTGGCGCTAATGTTGGTCATGAAAGAGGCGTTCAAGAGCTACCACCTGGCATGGGCGAGATCGTCGATTGAACCAGCCTTCAAGGTGAGGATTCGTCATGGCAGGGCTACGTCATGCGTTTTGATGGCAAACAGGTTGCCGGTAGTTTGTCCTGTTGAGCTGTGACGCTCCTGTGTTGCGTGCTGATGTTGCCGATACGACTTTCAGGCATTCTCGACACGTGAACGTTAGCTTGTTTCATCCCATCGATCACCTTCCTCCCGAAACGCAACCAGTTCATTTTTTCTCTTTGATCCTGTGTCGCGGGCTTGCGCGCCGTGTCGCCCGTCGCCTAGGCGGCGGCAGATCGCAGGCTACTTTTCCCGGAGGGGGAGCTGCGCGACACGCTCGACGGTTTCACTGACGCCATCACCAAAAGGCAAAGGAACCCTGGAGGGTTGATGGCCCCACCTTCCAGATCGGTGAGTGTTCGGCGGGAGTCAAGGCGGGTGGGGGAACTCTACGCTATCCCTTTCCGTATCCTTGGTATGCGAACGTCGGAATGATGCCGCCAGCCGACTTTTTACTCGTACACATTTCGTGGAGAGAAGCGGTGCCCTCTCACGGTTCCGGCGAGAGCAGCGTCGTCAAGGCCAATTCGTGATTTTTAACCTCCCTCTCCCCTCTCGCCGCTGTGTGAACAGGTCAGAGCCCACAACAGCACGGCGCATCCGATGCTCAACAAGCGCTCGGACGTCATCCGTTGACAAAAGAGTCAGATACTCAGCTCTGCTGGAGCTGTTGAAGAGGGGGGGGGGGGGGGGGGGG